CTAATCTGCATGTTGTTATTTTTTATCTTTGTCACTAGGAGGAAAAAAACATTCTTTTTCTTTTGTATATATATTTATTGTTTGAATTACTCATAGTTAATTTTTGTCTATTTCTTTTGAATGTGTCTATGGTATGTGGGGCCATGGTGTGATGTACAGTGCACATATGTGCAATAGAGTCTTCCTAGCACACACCCTGTCCTCCTAGCTCACTTTTCAGGTTATCCTTGAGGTGGGGTTTCTCACTGAACCTGGATATACTGATTTTGGCTCTACTGACGAGCCTGTGAGCTCCAGGGATGCAGCTGCCTCTGTTTCTCCAGCTCTGAGTTTTATGGCTATATTTTTACATGGTTTCTGGAGCTGAACTCAGGTCCTCATGCTTCCAAAGTTAGATTAGCATGTTTGTCCATTACATTTATGGTTACGGGAAAAGTAATTATTTTCTTAGAACTGCGAATTCAATGTGATTATTTTCTGTTGACCATCTATTACAAAATGTGAAAAAAATAAATAGTTTTTTTTTTTTGTAGTCTTTGAAAGTAGGAAGCCAGAGAGGGTTTTTCTAGGTTTGGGGCTTAGGTGTTTCTGTGTTTTGTCTTCAGAAAGTCGTGACCCATATTTCCTACCACTGTACATCCGTGCCCTTGTCTCTCCTGCTCTGCTCTCTCTGCGCCCACTGCTGAGCTCTGCCGGAGCGTCCTCTTAGCGGGAAGCGCCTTTGTTACAGAACCAACTGCTTGCTCTGTTCTCACTGTTAGGGTCCCATGTTCTCAGCCACAGATTGGGCCCTCTGGGCCTGCTCCTGCTTATGGCTTCTGCGTTCATATTGGCTGTGATCCCCTGTGTCCTGTGCGCAGTAAGTGGTTTCTCATTCTCACAGCTGGGACAAGTGTTGTAGATTCCTCTTTTCACTCCCACTCAAGCATGAGGCTGTGTCTTTGTCACATGTTCCCTTTATGCAAATGAGAATGTAGTTTGACTTACATGTACGAAGTACTTAGAAAGCATCGTTGTGCCCTGCTCCAAAGTTGTTTCCATTCACGTCTGTGGGTTTGTTACTCAGTAGTGGACAGGACTGAAATGTCTCAGCCACTAGTTGTTTGGTTTATGGCAGCTTAACTGACTAAGACAGGCTCAGTAGCTCTGAATAAACATGACAGTTTTGAGGTCCCCTGCTGTTGCAGTGTGGGACAGATTCTTCTGTCAGTTAGTGCAGGTGGTCAGTGAGACCTTGTGGGTGCTGCTGTGTGACAAAGAGAGGAGCTTGAACCTGTGCTTTTAAGAGAGAACTTCTAAATCCCTGTCTTGATTTACCTGCAGTGGAGAATCTGCAGTTGCTTATTCAGAACCCTGGGTAGTTGTTTTTTTCTTGGTAATGTATTGTAGAAAGACAAAGACAGTTGTTTTCTGAGTTTAGAAAGTATCATTATTTATTCTTGTTCTGACATGCAGTGTGTGCATTTCCGTCCCACCCTCCTGAAAATTCCATGAGGGGAGCCTGAGTTAGGGACTTGGGTTTGCACTCGTCTTGGCTTATCCTGGTTGTGGTTATCCGGGAGCTCTGCCTGTCCCTTCTGTGAAGGTCAGCTTTGTGTCCCTGCTGTATTGTTAATAGACTAGGTTCACATTGCATGCTGACATTACCTCATCTCTTGTGTGATTGACTGGAGATAGGCCAGTGTTTTCACAGCCTCTCTGTCGATAGTTTAAGCATAAAATTCTAAGCTGCATAAACATAGTAAAGTGAGTGTATTTAGTTTCTGGTGTTAGGAGCTCAAGTTCCTCATTTCAAGTTCTTAATTACTTTTTTCTTCTTAATTTTTATTATTCTGCTTGTTTGGGTGTGTGTGTCTATGTTTGTGTTTACACGTGTGTACTTGCTCATAAGCGCACATAGCCATAAGTGTGTCTCTGTAGAGGTCAGAGGACGGCTTTCAGGAATCACTTTGGCCCTTCACCATGGGTTCTTGGCAATCAGACTCAGGTTATTAGGTTTGCAAAACAAGCAGATTACCCAGCAAACCATTTCTCAGGCCCCTGAAGTCCTGATTTCTCTTCAGCACTATTGTGAGTGATACAGTGAGGAGCCCTTATTATAAATACCTACTGTTTAAAAGTATGGAAAAAAATTTCCAAAAACTGAACTGGCCCTTGGCCCTGGTGGATTACCCTAGGAAGCTGAGGCAGAAAGAGTGCTACCAATTCAAAGCCGGCATGAGCTACATGAAGCCCAGGCCAGTTGGGCTACAGAATGAAACTGTTTGAGAAGACAAACAGGTGGGGTGTACTGGGGCTGTCTCTCATTGGTATAGCACAAGTCAGACAGCTTCTGTCTACAGCTAGGTGATAAATCAAGTAAGAAAGTTGACCTGGACCAGCTGGGTCATTAAAATTGTTCCTTCTTTTATATTACAAAGTGGCAATTCCTTTGTTTTTTGTAGGCTCTTGGAAGACTGCGAAAGGCTCTATGAGCATCTCACTCACTGTATTCCTCCTGAGATAATAATGAAGGTAAGTGGCCCTGTTTGACATCTTGAACATTCCTAGCTATAACCCGACACCAGTCCTGTGATCACAGCGCTTTTGTAATGCTAAGGTACATCATCATCAGTTTTAGCATTTGAGTAATTCTACAGATGCATTCTTCCTATGTGCCAGGCACCATTAGGGGACCACAGAAGACGGGAGGGAAGACCACAGTTGTGATGCTGTGTTCATGGGAGTGACATGGGAGAAAAGTGAAGAATATTTCATAATGTTTTGAGTCTTTAATGGAAGGAAAGTGAAATAATAATAATAATAATAATAATAATAATAATAATAATAATAACAGAGCCGAGTGATGCACAGCCATGGTTGGCTGCTCAGGGAAAGGTTTTTTCCAGCTGACACTCAGCACTAAGCATGGAACTATATAAGTGGTTGGGAAACAGGTGTTCCAGGAAAGACATGGTTTATGTGGAGAAATGAGGCTGAAGATGTAGGTGCAGTCTAGACTTTATAGGAACACTCTGCTGGCCGCTTAGCTAAATTTACTGATTTCAGGTATTAGGGAATTCACAGTTTGATTCTATTGAAATTGCACAGTAATGTGAACAAACTCACATGATACCTAATTCACAAAAGAACAAGGTCGTCTTCTATATACAGTGTTAATGCTTTGAATAGACTTGTTCTTTTTACCTAGTTACCAGAGCCGTATGTGTGTGTGTGTGTGTGTTTGCGTGTGCGTGTGTGGTGTGCGTGTGTGTTTAGTAGTGTGTAGTCTGTTCACTGTACTGAGTCTCATTCAACAGCATAAGCTAAATGACCATGTCAGTTTTTTGAAGATGGCCTTTATTGGTGCAACTTTGAATTGTTATTAATGTAATGAATACGGCAGTAACTCTCTTGGTACTTAGGTCCTTGTACCCTTGTGCAAATGCACACAGCTGCTCTCAAGTTATGAGAGTTTTTTTCTTTTTTTTTTTCCGATAAACCTTTAATAAGTTGAACATGTCATGCAAATGACGTAGCCACATCTGGTAGCCACTTGGATGAGGTTGAAGGATTTCTTAAGCACATCAGCCTGGGCAACAGTGAGACCTTGTCTCAAAGAACAGAAGAATGTTTAGTTCATCTTACTTACCCATCAGACAGCACAGGTCATGATATTGTTCTGTAGATTATGGATTGTCACCATCAGGATCATGTGACTGGTATGATTCCCTACATGGTGCCACGGTCTCAAGAGAATATTATATTGCATATTTCTAGCCTAGAAAAAGATCAAAATCTAAGATACAGTTTACTTTTTTAACCATTTATTTTATTTTTTGAGATTATAATATAATTACCCCTTTTCTCTTTCCTCACTCCAAGCCGTCCCCATACCCTTCTTCTTCCTTCTTCTTGCTTTCTTTAGATTCATGGCTTCTTTTTCATTAATTATTTACAAACACACACTTATGTGTGTGCACATGTGTATTCCTAAATACATATGTACAATTTGCTCAGTCTGTATAATGTCGGCTATATCAAGATAAACTTTCTTCTGCATCTGTCTTACTTCCGCATCATCAATAAAGCAAACAAAGCAAACCAAAACAAAAATCGATCCTTTAATTCAGACTGTTACAAGGGGCTTTCTGTGTTTGGAATTTTGAAAACCTTGATTAAGTGCCAGGTTTTATTGTGTACATAGTGTTCTTGGCTTTGTTGAAGTCCACTGATTCATATAAAAAGTAACAGGTGTATACATATATACACATATATACATACATGTAAGTATATACACCTACATACAGACATTAAAAGCTACATTAAAGCTTTACCTTTATGAGGGAGAGGCGTAAGCATGTTTGGCTAGTTTTCCCCCACACTGCTTTTTAAGTCTCCCTTACTTCTGTAGGGCCTGCTCTCAGAGCTCTTACAGAACTGCGATGGGCAGCTGAAAGGGGAGGTGGCACAGATGGCAGCCTATTATGAGCATCGACTGCAGCTGGGCAGCAAAGCCATTTATCACTTGGAGGCATTTGTGGCCAAGTTTATGGCCCTTTATAAGAAGTTCATGGAGGACGGACTGGAAGGCATGATTTTCTGATGCAGCCAGCGGCTCCTCCAAGTGCCTCAGAAATCACGTTTATGCAGATTTGCTCTGAGACTGTGGGTACAATAAACTACTTTATTTACTAAATAAATTTAGTTTGTTTATTGTTGTTGTGGGTTTTTTGTTATTTTTAAATGATCCTCTCTGAACTATTAATCATTTTTATTCATCATTTTTATATGTAAGTGTGTTTTGCCTGCTTGAGTATGTATGCTTGTGTACCATGTTCATAGTTGCTGCCAGAAGAGGGTGCTGGAGCCCCTGGGACTGGAGTTACAAATGTCTGAGCTGTTGTATGGGTGCTGGGTATTGAACGTGGTCCTCTGCAAGAGCAAGTGACTCTTGGCCACTAAGCCATTTCGCCAGCTGCTGAACTATAAAGATTTGCAAAGCCTCTGTGATCCTGCCCTTAGTGTTGTGGCATGCTGGGAGAAAGCTGATCTTGTTTTTTGTTTTGTTTTTGTTTTTTAAAGGGTATAAATATAGAGGTGGACACTGAAATTTCCAAATTCCTGTGACACTTTACAAGGAAATACCCAGAGATTGTTGTACTGAATTCACATAAGCCCTGGGCTTTTTTTGGTTGGGAGCTTTTTAATGACAGCTCCCATTTCCTCGAAGTTTATAAGTCTATTTAAATTGCTCACCTGGTCTTGATTTAATTTTGTTATGTGGTATCTTTCTAGAAAATTGTCCATTTCCTTTACATTTTCCAATTTTGTGGAGTACAGGTTTATGTAGTATGACCTAATGATTCTCTTGAGATTTCTGTTCATGCTTCTGACACAGTTTAATGACAGTGGCTTTTATTTGTTTTTGTTTCCCTGTTTCTTTGTTTTGGTGTTTAGCTTTTTAGTTCTAGGAATGTCTAGAATTTCTTTTTTTTTTTTTTTGCATACTATGGTAGTAGGAATGTTCTCGAATTTTTGTCAGATATTTAGCTGATAATGGTATTTTCCTAATCTTTCCACTGTGTCTCTTTTAAAATGGTAGTAGTCTCCTATCTATGGAAGGCATTTAGTTTTACAATGTCTCATCAGTCACTACACGGTCTTAAATACTTTGCTCCAGGGATTCTCTTCAAAACCTCCTGCCTTTGCCTACCATGAAGTGTTTTTTAATCTGTCTTTATAAGAGAGCACTGAAACAACTAACCTGACTTCCCTTGGATTTTCCACAAAATAAGCTGTTGTATCCTAAGCTAATGCACAGGTGAAACCTTAAATTATTTTCTTCCACAATAAATGCTAAATACAGTATAGAGATAAGTCGTGATAAACAATGGTGTTTGTAGCACTGTCTGTTATTGGTATCAGATGGGGTCAAGTAGAGTCAGACTAATCTTGTGAAATCATTTTAAAGATTTCTGCACAGTATCCCTGAACCCTTCCTCTTGTGATGCTCCTTGTGCTGTTCAATGAGAGAAAGAGAATAAAGCCCTTGCCATGGACAGACATATACTGAGGCACAATGACAAATTGTTAAGACAGCCTACAAAAGGCATAGATTCAGACTCACACATAGGAGAGGATAACATGGATGACATTTGATGAGTGAATTAGACGTTTTCAATCTGGAGATGCTCCTGGTTAGATGACACAAAGAAGACATGATTTACCGATTTCTCCATAGTGCACCGATGCATTATAGGTGACACTGAGTATATTAATAATGGGTTTAAACTTATTATTTTGTTGTCCTGTGTGAGGAATGTTAAAGGAACTAAATATTTGTAATATATCTTATAGAAGTGTGGTTGGAAAGAAACTGTAAACCAGAAATTGAGGGTGAATTTTATGAAATCTTCTTATGGATATTGCAAGACACACATACACACACACAGATATATTGTAAAAACATGTATTCATGCAATTATGAAAAAAATAAATAAAAGAAACTACTGGTAACAGTTAACCTCTTTCGTGATACTGCCCTGAATTGATCACTAATGAACAGATATAGTTAAAAATCACCCGTATCTTTCAAGCTTGTACAGATACTGTGTAAACCACGTAGAAACACTTTAGAAATGCATTCTTAGGTTCTTGGGCTCCTTTACCCATCCTCACAACTTTCATACAGAGCACTTATGTTTCAGTGAAAAGATGGTTCCTAAAAGTAGAATCATCACGTGAATTATGGTAAGCACAGTATCTGCTTTTTATGCATATCAGTATATATGAGTCCATGAGAATGTGCCATAGCATACTGGGATAATTAGCTTCATGGTTAATGAACAATGTCTAGTGCTGATGCATTTTGAACTCTAATGCTTCCATTGAAAAAATCCAAAAATAGGTGTAGTTCTCTCAAAATTTCAGTCATGAATAACTGCATGTTGACTTGATATTGCTTTCAATTGTGCTTCATCCCATTCCACAGCTTCCATCTAAGTAACAACTCCATCTTTGTGAACCTGGCCAGTGAAAACAAAGTGAAGTTCATGATTAGCTTTATAGGATTCTGATCTACATTTGAGTTTAGCTTTCCTTACCATATATTTGCTTTGCCTTAGTTGAGCACAACATATATAACTTCACTGCTGAGCAGACCACTTGAACTCAGCAAGGGAGAAACTCATTTTAATCTCTCTTGTTTTCATGAGTATCTGTGGAACCAAGCCAGGAGCAAATACTCTCTTGATTTCTGTGTTTCTGCAGATGGTGAGTGTGTGTGTAGCAGGTGAATGGTGTCTGTTGATAATTTTAAAGCAAGTTCCTCAAGAAAGAATCCAGGAGCTACAAGGGCACATCGTTTTCCCTGAGACAGAAGAGAGGGCTGATTCTACAGTAAGTATGCCTCTGCTCAGAGACTATGCTCAGTTCTTCTGCAAAGGTTCTATGTTTATGTTGCACATCTTTACGTCTCTGTTTCTTATAGTCCAGCCTATGGAGTTTATTTTGACTGACATTTGCTTGCTTGTACTTCTTATGAGAGTTATAAATTTACCCTAAGGTAAAAAGTGATAAGAAAATTGATAAATAAAATAAATTATAAGGGAAAGAAAAGACGTAAAGTTCTTGAGATGGCATTATGACACAATGAACTTCCAAGATGCTGTTGAGTTTATTGAAGCTCAGCATGCAGCCTACCTTTGGGAGTAGTTTTTTTTTTTTTTTTTTTTTATCTCAGTGACAATTCCTTGAAGCAAACCAAATTTTTATTTGCAAGGGGTTATCAGTCAAAGATTGCTTCTAGGCTAGGGATCTGGGTAAGCGTCCACTTCTTATTTCAGTTCAAGTACTAAATTTGATGCAGAACTGTGCATGACCTGTATATGCTGCCTCAGTTTCTGCTCCTTAATATGGACTTCAATCCAGTAGAGAAAGAGGGCTGTGTATGTTTGTGTGGGGGAGGGGCATGTGATTACCTTCCTCTTTTTCTTTTCTATTTTTTATTTTTTTTCCATTTAAAAATTTACACTTCCTCCCCTCCTCCCATTCTCCTTTCGCTCCCCCACTTACCCTCCTACCCCTCCCTCCTTAAGAGAAGGCAGGGAACACTGCCCTGTGGGAAGTCCAAGACCCTCCCCTCCTGCTGCTCCCTCCACCTCCCTCCCTCCTATCTCCCCATTTCACCCCTCATCAACTCCTCACAGAGGGTAAGGCATTTTCCCATGGGGAGTCAACAAAAACTAGCACCTTGCTTTGAGGCAGGACCAAGGCCTTCCCCAGTATGTCTAGGTTGAGCACGGTGTCCTTTCAAAGAGAATAGGTTCCAAAAAGCCAGAACAAGCAGTACGACTAAATCCTTGTCTCACTGCCAGTGGCCCCACAATCTGCCCCAGCCATACAACTGTCACTCACATTCAGAGGGCATAGTGTGGTCCTATACTGGTTCCTGTGCTGTCAGGCGAGAGTTGGAAGGCTTCCATTTTCTCTGGTAATCTGTTTCAGTGGGTAACCCCATCATAGCCTTGACCTCTTAACTTATATTCTCAGTCTTCCCTCTCTTCAGCTGTACTTTCGGAAGTCAGCCCAATGCTCTGCTGTGCTTCTCTGCATCTGTTTCCATTAGCTGCTGGATGTAGGTTCTTTGATGACATTTAAGATAGTCATCAATCTGACTACAAGGCAATGCCAATTTAGGCATCCTCTCTACTGTTGCTTAGGGTCTTAGCTGGGGTAATCCTTGTGGATTCCTGAGTATTTCTCTAGAGCTAGTTATCTTGCTAGCCCCATAATGGCTCCCTCAATCAAGATATCTTTTTCCTTATTTTCCATCTCTGTCTTCCCATCTCAAATATGCAGTTCCCTCAAGTTCTCCTCATCCCTTCTTCTCCCCTCCTCTTTCCCTTCTGCCTTCCCTTATCCACCTAGACTCTTGCTCCCATTTTTCTCAGGAGATCTTGTCTATTTCCCCTTCCAGGGTTATATGTGTATATATATATATATATATATACACACATATACACACACACACACATATGTGTGTATATGTGTGTGTGTGTTCATGTATGTGTGTGTATGTATATATATATATATATATATATATATATATATAATGTCTTTTTCTGTAAGGGTTCTCACTGTTAATTAGCTTCTCTGGGATTGTGGACTATAGGCTCCTAATACTTTGCTGTACAGCTAGTATTCACCTGTGAGGGTGTATATACCATGATGATTTTTCTTGGTCTGGTTAACTCACTCACTATTAATTATCTAGTTTCATCCATTAAAATGCAAATTTCAAGATGTCGTTTTTTTATGGCTGAGTAGTATTTCATTATGTAAATATACCACATTTTCTTTATCCATATTTCAGTTGAGGAGCATGTATGTTATCTCTAGGTTTTGCCTATTATGAATAATGCTGCTGTGAACATAGTTTAACAAATGTCCTTGTAGTATGGTTGAACATTATTTGGGTATATGCCCAAGAGTGGTGTTGCTGGGTCTTGTGGTAGGTTGATTCACAATTTTCTGAGAAATTGCCATACTGATTTCCAGAGTGGTTGTACAAGTTTACATTCCCAGCAGAAATGGACAAGTGTTTCCCTTACTCTACATCCTCTCCAGCATAAGCAATTGTTGGTGTTTATGGTCTTAGCCATTGTGACTGGTGTAAGGTGGTTTTGATTTGCATTTCCCTGATGGCTAAGGATATTGAAAATTTCCTAAAGCGTCTTTCAACTAATTGAGTTTCTTCTGTTGAGCATTCAATGTTTAGTTCTGTACCCCATTTTTAAACAAATTATTTGATATTTTGATATCTAATTTCTTGAGTTCATTATGTATTTTGGAGATCAGTACTCTGTCTGATGTGGGGTTGATAAAGATCTTTCCCTGTTCAGTAGGCTGGCTTTTTGTTTATTGACTCTCTCCTTTCCTTTAGGTGTAGTTAACTGAGAGTGGATATGTTCAAGAACTAGAATGTGAGAAAGACAAGGAGGAAATGTACATTGAGTAATATAACTACACTGTCAAACAGGGCATATCCTTCATGGTTTGTCCTTTTCTTGCTATCTTCCTCATGAAATTTTTTGTAGAAAAATAGATGAAGGGCAAGGTGCAGTTTGTAATGTTAGCTCTAATCTAGAAAATCAGATTCATGGGACTGCTATTCCCAGAGTTGTTTAATCAACATTTTTGTTGTTTTTTTTTTATTGATTCCTTAGTAAATTTTATTTAGTAACTTATTGCACTTTAGGTCTCATACTCATATTGTGTTCTTGAAGCAATGATAGAACCCTGTAGCTTCAGGGGTGTGTCAGCTTTGTATATCAGCTGATCTAAGTCATGCATCAGCTATGCAATCTACCTCCTCATTTGTTCTTTATAAATCTGCTCACAGTGTTTCCACTACTTATTCAGGTTTTAGAAGTCAGTCTCTTCCCAGCCTGCCACACACAGGTGTCACCTCTATCATGGTCTTTCCCACTGTTGTCATTGAAGTAATTTGCAGTAAGAATTTCTGCTTCATTTTTGGATATGGCAATTCTGTCCCTTGCTACACATCTTACTTTTGACATATTTTCATTTGAGAGCTCTTCATGCACACATGGTTGCAACTTTACAGCTCATGTTTATTCAACATGTGATTCCTAAAGAAACAGTTTGCCATAAGAATAGATGCCCTTAAATGGTGAAGGCTGGAACTTCACACGAAGATAGTCTGGCTCCCATTCACATACCCTTTTTCTGCCTGTACATCTATAGCTTAAGTTTGTCCTTCTTGGCTTAATATTTTCAGCACACTGATTTTTAGTGTAGACTATATTTTGAAGTATGTTTTTTAGAATAATGCTAATCAAGAACACTTTAAGTTTTGTGATAAATTCTTGTGTCTTTAGTCTAACTAATGAAATTTGTACCTGGGCACTTGATAAACTGTTTACTTTCATGACAGGGAATCTTGACATTCCAGGATGTGGCAATTGATTTCTCTCCAGATGAGTGGGATTGCCTCGACTTTGTACAGAGGACTTTGTACAGGGATGTCATGTTGGAGAACTACAGTAACATGGTCTCTGTGGGTGAGACTTTTTTCATGATTCCTTCTTTATCATAATTGTTTCCTACAAGTATGTTTTACACTTATGTCTGAATTGTTTGCCCCACTTTCACATGTCAATTTAATAAAAATCTTAAGAGTTCATCATTTAGAACACAATAATTTGTGTAATTTTATCTTGTCAATATACTCCTGACTCCTGGAGTTGATAGTCATCGTTCAAACATTTATAATACATTTTACTTTTCAGACACACCATATATTGATTTGTAACTTAATCATTCACAACATATTTGCATTTAAATTCAGTAGTAATTTGCAAAGCAACTCAAAGTATAGAACACTTAAAAAATGTTTTGTATTTTCAAATATTGGGTGATAGCAATTCCATAATCATATTTGGAATTTTATGTTATATGTCATCTAATATAGTCAGTATTGTGGTTTATTAGAAATCCAAGTGTTTTAATATTATCCCAAGTTTGTTCATATGTCTCTTCCAATATTCAGGTTGTTCGGTGTCCAAACCAGACCTGATCAACTCCCTTGAACAAAGCAAAGAGCCCTGGAATGTGAACGTAGGAGAGAAAGAAGGCAATGAACAAGGTAAGCCACAGAAAGTATTAGCACATGTGGGAAACAGGGCATGGAGGAATTCTGTCCTGAAGTGGGGTTTGCAAAGATCTTTACCTGAAATGGTATAAAACTTCACATTGAATAATTATCCCAAATTATTTTATAAGTTTCATTCGCATGAAATGACCTAAACACTCACTTTGAATACGTAAATTATGGTATAAAGCAGAAGTAATATGATTTGTTGCTATATCCTTGAATGCCACCAGGCCCTGAAATGAACAATATTGAAAGGAAAATTAGCATAAAAAACTTTTCACAGTGTTTCAAAGAATATTTTTCTGTACAAGTTCATGTCTGTTTGTTTACACTCATGATAGTATTACGTGGTTTTCACTATTGTGTAGTATGACATAAAATCAGAAAATACAAATTTTATAGTTGGACTCATTTTAGAAGATTGTAGAATTTGTTCTTTGTGTTAGAATCTACAGAATTTAAAAGATAACTTTTTCTATTTCTGCAAAATATTCATTAGAAACTAGGAGTTGTTTATTCATACATGTTACTGGTCTATTAAGATCATCTAAAAATCTCTGAATATCAAAATTTATAATGTTACTTTCCACATAAAGGCTATGTTTTCTTTTGTGTTTTATTTCTATCTATATTTGAGTTTTCTTGGACAAGCAAATTTGTGTATACTTTTATTATTCGTATATACTTTTATTATTTTGATTGCCTCACAATGACTTTTGAACATATTCAACTCCCCAACTCTTCCCATGTTCTGCTTCTTCCAGATATCATTTATTTTTTTTCTCATCTTTATTTATACTCAGAGTTCAATCTGTAATTCCCATACATTCTTGGGTGTAGAGAATGGCCTGCTTATGGTTGAATTATCAGGAGTTACACATTTTTAAAATAAACTTATGCCCTTTCTCAGTTGGTAGAGCACGAAACTCTTAATTTCAGGGTTTTTAATTTTACCCCATGTTGGGTGCCAGATGAAGGACACTCAAATCCCACACTAGCTCAGAATTAAAAATAATAAATGGTTAATTATTTAGGGGTAGACTCACAAATCAGAATCCTCTGCTGGAATGATGAACCCAATCCCGCAGCCGGAAAAGACGCCAGAAGCACTCTATATTTATATCCGCATAAAGAGTATAAGAGGCCACACCCCAGTGGGTGGGTATCTTAAAGGCTACTGGCTGTGGGATTTCTTACAGCAGATATCCTTGATTTTTTTCTCATCTTTATTTATACTCAGAGTTCAGTCTGTAATTCCCATACAATCCTGGGTTTTGAATATGGCTTGCAATATGGTTGAACTATCAGGAGTTGCACAGTTTTAGTAAACGTTATGCACTTTCTCCAAGCATCCTTCAGATGATAGGAACTTCTCGGCAAGGTTTAGGTCTCCAAATCCCCTCAGGCTTTTTTCCTAGAATTTTAATCTGGCTTGAGCTTGCTTGGATCTGATGCATGCTATCCTAATCACTTGTGTTCATATGGGCAACTGTCAAGTAGTATACAAAGCACTACTATTTTTATAGTCATTCATGACTTCCTGGCCTTAACATTGTCACTCAGTCCTGAATGAGCTCTGAACATTCCATGGGATGGGTTTGATATAAACATACTAGTTAAAACTAAAATTTTTCCTATTGTTTGTACCATGTCCACCTATGAGTCACGTTTTAGTTGTCAAAATTCACCAGAAGCAATGGAAATGAGGCCTAGAGATGCAATTCTCTGTGGGTAAACCAATAGAACATCAGGAATAATTTTAATACTAAATCCAAGCAGCAGAATAATGGTAGTAGGTGGTACTTTTTATCTCTTAATAATTCTTCTTGAATTAGCATGAACACTCCTCAAAATATTCTACAAAATAAAAGCAATAGAACAGTGAAATTCTTTTTGTGAGGATAGTTACATTGATACCTAAACCATGTATACACACAAAAAGTAAGTGAAAGATATACCAATTCATTATGAACATATATAAAAGTCCTCAATAAAATATTTCCATCCTGAATCCAATAGCATATCAAAAAAGGTGATCTACTGTAGGATTCATCTCAAGATATATAGGGCTAGATCAACAATTTAAAACCAATAAATGTAATCTACCACTTATACAAACTGACAGTCAAATTCCAGATGTTTATCTCATTAGATGCTGAAAAGCCTTTGATAAAATTAACACCTCCTTTTTGATAAAAGTCCTGGAGAGATTAGGGATGCAAGGAACATACTTCCAAATGAAAGACACAATTTGCAGCAAGCCTATATCCCACATCAAACTAAATCAAGAGATATTCAAAGGCTTTCCACTAAAATAGGGAACCATTTAAATGGTACTCACTCTCTATATGTATTCAATGCAGCACTTGGAATCTTAGCTGGAACAGTAACATGAATGAAGAAGATCAAGAAGTGATGAATAATAAAGGAAGAGATCAAAGGAACTTTATATGCAGGTGCTATGAATTTAGGTTTACAGACTCTAAGAACTCCACCAAGAATCTACTACAACTGAGATAAACTTTAATCAAATTTAAGAGGTGCAAAATTAACTAACAAAAGCAGAAGCCCTCCTATATAAAAATGAGAAAATACTTAAATAGAAATCAGTGAAATGATGTCTTTTACAATAGCCTCAGAAAATAGTTTGGGGTAATTCTAACTAAAAAAGTGAAAGACCTTTATAAAAACTTTAAGGCATTGGAGAAATGAATTGAAAATGATATCAGAAGATAGAAGAAAATCCCTGTGCTCAAGGATTGGTCAATTGATATAGTAAAAATGAACATCTTATTGAAAGTATAGTAGTGATTCAGTGAAAATCTCATCAAAATTCTAACACAATTCTTGAAAATCTCAAAAAGATAGTCTTCAGCATCATATAGATACAAACAAAAAACTCACAATAGTTTAAACAATCGGGAAAAATAAAACAATATATGTGGGGTATTATCCATAATTTGTTTTCTAAGAAGTGAAAGACAGTGGGTAAATTCAAGCATGAGTGAAGCTGGGGATGATCTCAGGGCTTTTGAGAGATGAAAAGCCATAGTCAGAATATATTTTATGAAAGCATCTATTTTCTGTAAAAAGAGACAGAATGAGAGATTTACCTCTGATAATAAGATCAGTACTAGTGAATTTCCTTGAAAATTTACGGACCTCTTCCTTGTGGCATACATGATTCCCTTTGAACCAATTAGTAGTAACTGCTTCCTGTTCTTTATTTCCTTCTTTCTTCACTAATTAATATTCTGTCTTCTTTATTAATATTATTCAATTTGTTCATTTGAAAAGATTGTGGAGATGAGTTTTATCCATTAAGATAAGTGTTTTTTTTTTTTTTGCAGTTGGGTTATAGGCTTTGTATATAGTTATTTTTCAATTGCTGTGATAAAACTCCAAGATAAAGGCAAAATACAGAAGAAAGAAAGAAAGATCTATTATGATGAATCAGAGGTAGCGATTGTCAAGGGACTAGAGCAGCAGTGAGAGGTCCCATCTAGAACCACAACAGAAAGCAAGAGAGCTCACTTTTGGCTACTGAAGGCATTAAAATTCTCAAAGCCAGTCTCCAGGGACTTAGGTGTTCTAGTAAGTTAATACCTAACGATAAACATCCACCAATTTCAGACCATGTATTCAGACATTTGTTTATATAGGGTCATTTCACTCAACCCATCATAGTCTTACTTACTATTCTCAAAATTATAATTGGAATCTCTAAGGTAACATACCTTCGATCCTTCTTCTATTTTTATTATTTATTTAATGTATGTTATAAAAGATCTTCTGTCCATTTGCCTTAAAAAGATTTTTTTAGAATAAATGATTTGAAGTTTATTTTTTGTAATATGCCACCTTGAATATGGGTCTAAACTTATTTATAAAATTGTGTCACTTGTATATCTGAAAACATTTCACATAGTGTACTAACGCAGATAATTATATATTTTTCTTTTTTCCAGTTTTCTATTTTCATCAAACACAAGACCAGTTTTCACAGGAGAATGGACAAGATCCTATCCAGAAATTGCTATCAGCTGTAAGTAGTGACTTAAAAACTTATTTTTCAGGATGAAGAGAGAAAAGGGAATGGATTATTTCATGATTGAAATAATCTATATTCACCAACCACTCTGGGTAGCCCTGCCAAAAGTACCTTATCTTGAAAGATGTCACATTAGATCACTTCCATTTTCAAAAACAGTTTCTTCAGAAAGCAAATAAAAACTAAGTTTTAAAACATGTTTTTATTCTATAAATAATTTTGAAAAACCTGAAACTGAATGGTGCATATGCTAATAAACATTTAATTCCCTCAATTAATAATTATATTTTATGACAATGTATTCAGTTGAGATATATGTGAGAAGGTTTTTCTCAATCAAATAAGATTGAAAATATATCATAGCTTTTCTAGCTGTAAGAAGCCTTACGCATTTAATGATGTTATTAAAACCTTCACTAGGAACTCTAGGAAGACTATTTACCAGAATCTTCATCTTGAAGGGACAAATTCTCAAAACATCAATTACAATATGGCTTTATTATCATTTAAATACATAGAATAAGTCTGTTTTTCCTAAGAGCCAATACATACACAATAATTGTAAGGAGATTTTTTTTTATTATAACACACACTTTTATTTTTGTTCCAGCATGACCAGAAACAAGAGAAGCATTATGTAAACAATCAAAATGAAGAAAGTCAAAACAACTATATGGAATGTGGAAGGTGCTTAAACAGATGTGCATGCCTCACTATACATAAAGGAATTAATCCCAAAGAGAAGGTATATAAATGTAAAGATTGTGGCAAATCATTTACCCATCATGCAAATCTCCAAGCTCACTGGAGAATCCATACTGGTGAGAAACCTTTCACATGTCAAGTGTGTCTCAAGTCCTTTACCCAGGTGTCAGATCTTCACAGACATCACAGAGTCCATACTGGTGAGAAACCTTTCACATGTCAAGAATGTGGCAAGTCTTTTGCTCATGTCTCAACTCTACATAATCATCACAGAATCCATACTGGAGAGAAACCTTTCAGATGTCAAGAATGTGGCAAGTCCTTTACCAGGGCCTCAACTCTTCACACTCATCACAGAATCCATACTGGTGAGAAACCTTACATATGTCAAACATGTGGCAAGTCCTTTACCAGGGTCTCAAATCTTCACAGTCATCACAGAATCCATACTGGTGAGAAACCATACAGATGTCAGAAATGTGGCAAGTCTTTTGCCCATATCTCAACACTTCATAATCATCACAGAATTCATACTGGTGAGTAACCTTACAGATGCCAAGAATGTTGCAAGTCCTTTACCCAGATCTCAGCTCTTCTTGCTCACCATAGACTCCATAATGGTGACAAACCTTACAAATGTAAAGAATGTGGTAAGTCCTTTAACACAAACTCAAGTCTTAGAAAGCATCACAAAATTCATGTATGATGTATATTTCATAAAATTTCTTAGTATACTTCACAGTAATTCATTGTATAGATCTTCATACATTAACCAAGATATTACAGAGACTCACATCCTTCAATTAATTTTTAAAGCTTAGTGAATACTTTGCTTTAATTTCTTATGAATATAGAAACATTTTATCCAGATTTGACCTTTATTGTCATTAAACATATGTTGTAAACTGAATTTATCCATTATTGTTGTAAACATAGCATTCAAGCATTAACTATTATAAATAAGCAAATATTTCTAGTAGGAGTAAATTAAGCAATAACATTTCTTGACTGTATGTTTAGAAATGTGTTAAAAAAATTCAGTGTCAAAAAAGAATCCATTGTCATACTATTTCAGATTTTGATGCAAATTTACTTTCTTGGCATATGGTTGCTTATGTAATGAGATTATGCTCTATATGAACATTATTTTCCTGTGATTTTTGTGATATTAAATGTATAACAGCTCGTATGAAACTAGAAGTCTTTTCATTCTGTGTCTTTGCAATAAAACTTTTAAACATTTTGACCAATTTTTATTGTATTTTTTTGTTCTGATAGTCTATTCCCTAATGGCAGGGTATCATAATTGTGAACTCTTCCAATAATGATAGCAACAATGAAAACATGACATAAAATAGATGTAGATTGTTGTGGGATGTGTTACAGTACGTAAAGATGGATTGAATTCAATGAAAATAAAGACACAACATACCCAAACCTATGGGACACTATGAAAGCAATGCTAAGAGGAAAGTTCATTGCACTAAGTGCCCACATAAAGAAAACGGAGAATGCACACATTAGAGACTTAACAGCACACCTGAAAGCTCTAGAAAAAAAAATGAAGCAGACTCTCCCAGGAGGAGTAGAAGACTGGAAATAATCAAACTGAGGACTGAAATCAACAAAATAGAAACACAGAAAACAATCCAAAGAATCAATGAAACAAAAAGCTGGTTCCTGGAGAAAATCAACAAGATTGACAAACCCCTATTCAAACTAATAAATGGCAGAGAGAGATCATGTAAAAAAAAGATCAGAAATGAAAAGGGGGACATAACCACAGACACAGAAGAAATTCAGAGAATCATTAGGTCTTACTACAAAAGCCTGTATGCCAAAAAATTGGAAAATGTGAAAGAAATGGACACCTTTTTAGATAAGTACCATATACCAAAATTAAATCAAGACCAGGTGAACAATTTAAATAGACATGTAAGTCATGAGGAATTAGAAGCTGTCATCAAAAACCTCCCTACCAAAAAAAAAAAGTCCTAGAGCAGATGGTTTCAATGCAGAATTCTACCAGAACTTCCAGGAAGAACTAATACCTATACTCCTTAATGTGTTTCACAATATAGAAACAGAAGAGTCATTGCCAGACTCTATTTATGAACCTGATACCCAAACCACACTAAAACTCAACCAAGAAAGAGAATTACAGACCGGTCTCACTCCTGAACATCAATGCAAAAATTCTCAATAAAATACTGGCAAATGAAATCCAAGAGCACATCGAAAAAATTATCCATTATGATCAATTAGGCTTCATCCCAGAGAGGCAGGGCTGGTTCAACATATGAGAATCTATCAATATAATCCATCATATAAATAAACTGAAAGAAAAAACCAATATGATCATTTCATTAGATGCTGAAAAAGCGATTGATAATATTCAACACCCCTTTATGATAAAGGTCCTGGAGTCATTAGAGATACAAGGTTCATTCCTAAATATAAAAGCAATATATAGCAAGCCGGTAGCTAACATCAAATGAAATGGACAGAAACTCAAAGCCATTCCACTAAAATCAGGAACAAGACAAGGTTGTCCACTCCATACCTCTTCAAGAAAGTGCTTGAAGTTCTAGCAATAGCAGTAAGACAACATAAAGAGATGAAGGGAATTCGAATTTGAAAGGAAGAATTCAAACTTTCATTATTTGCAGATGATATATTAGTGTACATAAGCAAACCCAAAAACTACTAGAGAACTCCTACAGCTGATAAGCACCTTTAGTAATGTGGCAGGATACAAGATCAACTCCAAAAAAATCATTTCTGAAATCAATTGCTGCTTTTGTGTAGTATTCTGATTCAGTTAACAGCAGCTACTCTTTGAGTTAAAATAGATTGCAACACCTGTTTTCTGGGGATCCATGGCCTCCTCTGGCCTCTGCATGTACCAGGCACACATGTGGAACACACACACACACACACATTCACTCTAATGGGTATATATTCCACACTTTTTTTAAAATCCATTCTTCCATTGTGGGGCACCTAGGTTGTTTCCAGGTTCTGGCTGTTACAAATAATGCTGCTATGAACATAGTTGAACAAATGATTTTGTAACATGATTGGGCATCTCTTGGGTATGTTCCCAAGAGTGGTATTGCAGAATCCCGAGGTAGATTGATTCCCAATTTTGTGAGAAACTGCCACACTGATTTCCAAAGTGGTTGTACAAGTTTGCATTCCTACCAGCAATGGACAAGTATTCACCTTACTCCACTCCCTCTCCAGCATAGGCTATCATTGGTGTTTTGGATCTTAGCCATTCTGACAGGTATAGAATGGTATCTCAAAATTGTTTTGATTTGTATTCCCCTGATCACTAAGTGTCTTCTTTTTTTCTGTTCACTTTTTTTTTAATTTATTATAATTTTTTACCTCCTTCCCTCCTCCCATTTCCCTCTCATTTTCTCCACTCTCCCTCCCTCTTCTGTCCTAAGAGAAGTCAGGGTGTCCAGCCCTGTGGGAAGTCCAAGTCCTCCCCCCTCCATCCAGGTCTAGGCAGGTGAGTATCCAAACAAACTAGGCTCCCACCAAGCCAGTTCATGCAGTAGAATCAAAATCCAGTGCCATTGTCCTTGGATTCTCAGTCAGCCCTCATTGTCAGCCACATTCAGAGAGTCGGGTTTGATCACATGCTCGTTCAGTCCCAGTCTGGCTAGCCTTGGTGAGCTCCCATTAGATCAGTCACACTGTCTCCGTGGGTGGACGCACAATTCGCGGTCCTGACTTCCATGCTTGTGCTCTCCCTCATTCTGCTCTTCATTTGGACCTTGGGAGTTCAGTCCAATGCTTCAGTGTGGGTCTCTGTCTCTATCTCCATCCATTGCCAGATGAAGGTTCTATGGTGATATGCAAGATATTCATCAGTGAGGCTATGGGATAAATTGGCCAGGCCCGAAGTATAGACAGGAAAACTAGACAGGAAGTAGAAGTGATGCAATGAGAACAGGAGAATTCTGGGAAGGAGGAAGTTGATTCCTCCCACTCCTGCATAGATCACCGAAGCAGCAGGATATGATCTGCCCCACTGAAAAAGGTACTGAGCCACATGGCTAACATAGATCAGAATAATGGGTTAATATAAGCTACAAGAGCTCATAAGTAGCCTGACCTAATGGGTCAAGCAGCTTTATAACTTATAGAGATCCCTGTGTGATTTACTTTGAGGCTAAACACCTGTGGGAACTGGGCAGGACAGAAACCTCAACAAGCCTGGCCCATTCATGTTATAGGATAAGGCCAGTTCAGGCACCCTCTACACTGCTGCCCAAGGAAAAAGCTCGGGACATCCCCTTGGAAACCGGGGAACCCCTCTAGATTCAAGTCTCTTGACAACCCTAAAATGGTTCCCTTAATTAAGATATTTACTTCCCTGATCCCATATCCACCTTTCTTCCATCTCACCCATCCCATTCTCCCAAGCTCTACCCAATCCTCCCCTTCTCCCTTCTCTCTACCCATCTCCCCTCATCACCATCCTACCCACCCCTGTGTTCCGAACTTTTGCCTGGCAATCTTGTCTACTTCCAAAATCTAGGAGGGTAAATGTATGTTTTTCTTTGGATTCACCTTCTTATTTAGCTTCTGTAGGATCATAAATTATAAGTTCAATGTCCTTTATTTATGGCTAGAATCCATGTATGAGTGAGTACATACCATATTCATCTTTTTGGGTCTGGGTTATCTCACTCAGTAAAGTGTTTTCTATTTCCATCCATTTGCATGCAAAATTCAAGATGTCATTGTTTTTTACTACTGAGTAAAACTCTGAAGTGTATTTGTGCCACATATTCTTTATCCATTCTTCTATTGAGGGGCACCTAGGGATGAAGCCTAATTGATCATAATGGATAATTTTTTCGATGTGCTCTTGGATTTCATTTGCCAGTATTTTATTGAGAATTTTTGCATCGATGTTCATGAGTGAGATTGATCTGTAATTCTTTTTCTTGGTTAAGTCTTTGTGTGGTTTTGGTATCAGGGTAACTGTTGCTTCATAAAAGGAGTTTGGCAATGACTCTTCTGTTTCTATATTGTGAAACACATTAAGGAGTAAAGTTATTAGCTCTTCTGGAAGTTCTGTTAGAATTCTGCATTGAAACCATCTGGTCCTGGGCTCCTTTTTTGGTAGGGAGGTTTTTGATGACAGCTTCTAATTTCTAGTGACTTACAGGTCTATTTAAATTGTTCACCTGGTCTTGATTTAATTTTGGTATATGGTACTTATCTAAGAAAGTGTCCATTTCTTTCACATTTTCCAATTTTGTGGCATACAGGCTTTTGTAGTAAGATCTAATGATTCTCTGAATTTCTTCTGTGTCTGTGGTTTTGTCCCCCTTTTCATTTCTGTTCTTGTTAATTTGCGTGTGCTCCTCTGCTGTTTGATTAGTTTGGATAGGAGTTTGTCAATCTTGTTGATTTTCTCCAGGAACCAGCTTTTTGTTTCATTGATTTTTTGGATTGTTTTCTGTGTTTCTATTTTGTTGATTTCAGTCCTCAGTTTGATTATTTCCAGTCTTCTACTCCTCCTGGGTGAGTCTGCTTCTTTTTTTTTCTAGAACTTTCAGGTGTGCTGTTAAGTCTCTAATGTGTGCATTCTCTGTTTTCTTTATGTGGGTACTTAGTGCTGTGAACTTTCCTCTTAGCACTGCTTTCATAGTGTCCCATATGTTCGGATATGTTGTGTTTTTATTTTCATTGAATTCAAGAAACACTTTAATTTCTTTCTTCATTTCTTCCTTGACCCAGGGGTGGTTCAGTAGTTGGCTATTCTATTACCATGAGGTTGTAGGCTTTCTAGGGTTAGAATTGTTGTTGAATTCTAACTTTATTCCATGGTGATCTGATAGTACACAGGTAGTTACTACAATTTCTTTGTATTTATGGTTGCTTGCTTTGTTACCAATTATGTGATCAATTTTTGACAAGGCTCCATTAGATGCTTAAAAGAAGGTATATTCTTTTCTGTTTCTTTTATGTTCTATAGATGTCTGTTAAGTCCATTTCGTTCATTACATCTTTTAGTTCTATTATTTCTCTGTTAAGTTTTTGTCTTGTTGACCTGTCCATTGATGAGAGAGGAGTGTTGATATCTCCCACTATTAGAGTGTGGGATTTGATGTATGCTTTGAGTTCTAGTAATTTTTTTTTACATATGTTGGCACTTTTATATTAGGGGTAGATATTCAGGGTTGAGACTTCCTTCTGATGAATTGTTCCTGTTATGAGTATA